CAGGTGGATTGCTTGAGTCCAGGAATTTGAGATCAGCCTGGACAACATAAGGAGACCTCATCTCTACAAAAAAATAATAATGATTAGCTGAGCGTGGCGATGTGCACCTGCAGTCCCAACTACTCAGGAGGCTGAGGTGGGAGGATCACTTGAGCCCAGGAACCTGCAGTGTGAGCTATAATCACACCACTGCACTCCAGCCTGGGTGACAGAGCGAGATGCTGTCTTTAAAAAAAATGCTCCTATAACCCAGGAAATTCCAAAGGATTTAGGAGCTGTGTGTCAGCCATTCCTATCACTCAGGAGATTACAAAGATTTTAGGAGATCTATGTTAGAAACAGGGGCAGAGGCCAAATATATATATTTTTATTATATCACAAAATCACAAAAGTCCTGGTGCCCTGGCCTGGCCTTGGAGTGGCTGGGAGGACCCGGCTCCCAGCAGTCGTGGCCTGAAGACATCTTGCAGGTGGGCTGGGGAAGTCGCTGCGGTGACCTTCACAGACTGGCCTCCAACAGTCATAGCCAGAGGGCATCTAAGGAGGGCCTAGGTGGGACACAACTCCCTGTAGTCAGAGTATGTCCCCCAGTGCCTTGGCACATGAGCCCCTGAAGTTGGGGAGACCACTCAGTGGAGTGGTCACTTTCAAGCCACACCCCAACACTGCTTCACTGGTATGTGGCTAGACCTCAAACGTCCAAAGGCACAGTGACTCACACCTGTAATCCCAGTACTGTGGGAGGCTGAGGCAGGAGGATCACTTGAGCCCAGGAGGTTGAAGCTGCAGTGAGTTATGACCGCACCACTGTACTCCAGCCTGTGTGAGAGAGTGAGACTCTAGCTCTTTTTAAAAAAACAAAAAAGAAAACCATGAACACTGCAGAGTCCTAATTAGGAAAAAGGAGTCAGGCTGGCAGGACCAGGCAAAGAGGCTCAGAGTAAAAGGCTCTGCACTGACCATCAGATTTTAAAAGTGATAGCTCATACCCATAATCCCAGTCCTTTGGGAGGCTGAGGTGGGAGGATCACTTGAGCCCAGGAGTTGGATAACAGCCTGGGCAACATGGTAAGACCCTATTCCTACAAAAAAAAAAAAAAAAAAATCCAAAAAACAAAAAAAGATGAGCTGGGTGTGATGGTGTGTACCTGTAGTGTCAATTACTTGGGAGACTGAGGTGAAAGCTCATTAAAAAAATGTTATGTTGATTTGGCACAATACAATAAAATCTTGGGGAAGAAAGAGCTGTCCTCCCAGCCCCCTGGGTCTTGGGAGCTAACTGTCAGGGCTGGAGGGCAGGCAGGTAGCCCCACGGCCACAGTGGCTGGAGAGGGCCTGGGCCTGCGTCCACCTGGCTGGGCCGTGAGGAACTGCAAAGAGGAATCCCGGGGCTGTGCCACCTCGGGGGTGTGAGAGAAGTAAGAACCCACTAAGGTGAGCCAGATGTGGGCAATCGTTCACCGGGAGCGGTTCCAACGGCAGAACCACCTTTGAAAAAACAAAGGTAAGTGTAGCAAGGAACAGCTGTCCCCGTGGAGGTGGCGGTAGGGAAAGGTACTGCCCACAGGTTTCTTTTCCTACAATTTATTTATGACACAGGAGGGAGTGGGAGCCAGGAGACTCTGCCTGGGGACAGTGCCTTCCTGGGTGGAGGTCAACCACCACCTATGGCTTGATGAGCAGCCCCCACCTCATCACTTGAGGAGAAAGGAGAACTTCCCTTTGGGGAAATGGACCCGGTTTTTGAATCCTGGTCCTGAGAGGCCTTCGCCATGGCACTGAGCTGAGCCGTGGCCTGGAGGGCAGTGACACCTCCCTCAGGGTGCAGGAGAAGAGCATGTGCTGAAAGTGCTGGCTGGAGAAGAGGGGCTGTGTTTACATTTTTAAAATCCGGGCCCAGAAAATCTGTCTGGGAATGGAGTTCCTAGACCAAGTCGATTGGACTGTGATTTTTATGGGGAGGACAGCGGCTTGGGCTGAGAAGTCTGGTCACTGTGGGTGATTTTAGCCAGAGTCTGTCTCTGGTTATGAGGTCGGCTCTTAGAGCATTTCATTCTGAGGTCCTCAGTTCATCCCAGACCTGCACCCTGTTCCCTGCTCCTGACAGACAGTGCTCCTTGAATCTAGCCTAGGAATCATGTGGCGGAGATGCGCCAGGACACTTGTGTGTGGGATGCTCAGGGCAGGTGCAGAGCTACCTGTGTTTGTGTGCCTGAAAAAGGGGACATAGGAGAGTGACGTCCAGGTCCATGCAGTGACTGCAGGAGTGTGGAACCTAGGCTCATGGGAGCCATTTCCTTTTTTCTGAATTGTGATTCTCAAAGTGAATAATTTCAAATTCAAGCTCTTCAGTGATGAACACAGATGAACATTCAGCCCCTGAACAGGACACACGACACCCCAGGGCATTCAGCTGAAGGGTTAGGTAGTGGCGGTGTCCAGGACCCACAGAGTCCGGACCCCAGAACCCGCTGGAGTGCTGTGGCTCCCCCTACTCACCCCTGCCTACGTGGGGGCACATCCTGGTCTGAGCTAGCGGGCTAAACCCAGATTTAGAACACCTTCTTGTTCTCATCTTAGAGAGAGTCACGTTTGGAGTGCCTGCTGCCTAATCCGAACCAGAGACAAGAGAGAGCCACGCCTGCTGGGACTCTTCCCATAAGGCAGCGGGGTTCAATTCTGCCAGTTTCCTGGCCAGGGGCCCCCGAAGCCTCAATAAAACCAGCCTTTGCTGCCTCCTCCCCATGGCCCGGAGCCTCCCTGGGGGTTCTGCGAAGAGGCTGCTCTGTCCCAGGCCACCCCGTGAATCATGGCACAGGAGACAGGGAGGAGGCAGGCCGCAGCTCATTCAGAAGTTCCCAAATGCCAAGAGGTCCTTCTGAATTTCCTCCCCCTTTCCCATGGGGAGAAGGCCAGGCCTGCCCCTTCCTCAATTCCTCTGTCACACAGGTTGGGCCCCTCAGTTCCCCACCATCTGGATACAGTCCTCCGGCCTCCCAGCGAGTGAGGGCAGTGGCTGAGTCAACGGGATCAGGCGACGGAGTGAAAATTCCTTTTTTGGAAGCCAGGCAGTCACTGCCCAGGCTGGTGGAATCCTTGGGAAGTGACGCAAGCCCAGAGTCAGCTAGAGGCAGGAGAGAGCCCCTCAGCCCGGCCAGCCGCATGCCCTCCTCCTCGCCTCCTCTTGTGCTGGCCCGAGGTGGGCAGGGCCCTCAGGAGCTCCTTATGTAGGAAATGTTTTGAAATCGAGCAGCAGACAGCCTATGGGAACAATAGGGAACAATCTTTGTAACCCTCGCTGTACCAGCAGCAGCAGCTCATTCTGGAAGGCAAGAAGCGCTAATACAGAAATGCCTGTTTTTTCGCGGTGTGAATGAAGAGCCTGTGTTTTAGGAGTGCCACCTCCACTCCTTTCCGGTTTTCTGTCCTGCCGTGGGGCCTGGCCCAACTTCTCTAAAAGTGGCTCAGACACAGCGAGAGCCCCAGACTCAGGCAGATGCTTGTCACAGGGGCTCCCAAAGGGGACTGCAAACTGTCTGTGAAGGGAAGACCCACCAGGTCCAGAACGGCTAAGCAGCAGCTGGGAGCGCGGGAAGGGGGTGGGGGTGGGGGTGGGGAGAGGTTTTCTTCCTCTAGGGTTCCAGGGCACCCTGTGGTGTCTTTCTGTGTTCAGAGTGTGGTTAGGGAAGGAAAAGGCCTCCAAGGCATCATTTCTTAATTAAGAAAGATTTTTCTTCTAGCATCTGTTCCCCCTGATTATGGGAACGGTACCCATTTCCCTTTTGGGTGGCTCCAGGACTGGGTGTGTGGCCCAGACTGGCAGAGCCACCTGGCTGCTGTGTCTGCAGCATGAGGCATAACCCAGGGCATCCGATGAGGGGATAAGGTGCAGCCCAGAGCTTCCTGCTTCGGAGCCTGAGGACCTTGCTGGAGGAAAGCACATCCAAGGGAGTGGGAGACAGATTCTTTTTTTTTTTTTTTTGAGACAGAGTCTCGCTCAAGTCATTCTCCTGCTTCAGCCATGATTCTCTTGCCTCAGCCTCCTGAGTAGCTGGGATTGCAGGTGCGCACCACCATGCCCAGTTAATTTTTGTGTTTTAGTATAGATGGGGCTTTCACCATGTTGGCCAGGATGGTCTCGAACTCCTGACCTCTGGTGATCCACCCGCCTTGGCCTCCCAAAGTGCTAAGATTACAGGTGTGAGCCCCTGTGCCCATCCCAGATTCTTACAATGTCATCTGATTGCCTTCAGCCAGCTGTGCCTACAGCTAGAGACACCAGCCACAGACAGGAGAGACAGAAGGACAGCAGGACAGTCCTCGTAGCTGAGCCAGCATGAGGCGCAGCTCCACTTTGGCAACCCGGTGCTCTGCCTGGCTGCAGGCAGCATCTGCAGCTGAGGGTGCAGTTTTGTTTTTTTTTTTTCTTAAAGAAAAAGACTGGGCCTCGTGTGGTGGCTCCAGTCTATAATCTCAGAACTTTGAGAGGCCCAGGCAGGAGGGTTGCTTGAGTCCAGGAGTTTGAGACCAGCCTGAGCAACATAGCAAGACCCCATCTCTACAAAAATAAAAAACTAGGCACAGTGGTGTGCACCTGTAATCTCATTACTCGGGAGGCTTAGGTGGGAGAATGGCTTGAGTCCAGGGGGTCGACGCGACAGTGAGCCGAGATCATGCCACTGCACTCCAGCCTGGGTGACACAGCTAGACCCTGTCTCAAAAAAAAAAAAAAAAAAAAAAGCTAAAAAAGTGAAGTCTTTTCACTTTCACAAGTGAAAAATCCTTAAAGACCTCCAAAATTGAGTACTTCAGTGTGAGGGCCCCTTTGGGGGTTTTGAAAAAAACACAATAACATTTTGCAGCTTGTTATTTTTGTGGCACTAATAAAGACTTACGAGTGGTTATGTCTGTTAGCAGAATATTCCTGGCTAAGTTTTGCTTTTATATAAAGTTCTTTCTTTTTTTTTCTGTTCTGAGAGACAAAGGAGGCACAGGAAGTATCACATCTTGAAGGCCAGTCTTGCGATGGATTTATTGCAGGAGTTGACAGACCAAAGGGCTCTGACACATGCACTCTGCTCCTGGGCACACCTGCTGCTTGGTCGCTTTGCATGTCCCCTGGGGCCCTCCACGCCTCCCTCCCAGGGCACCCTGGCTTACTGTCCACACTTCATGTACCACCAAGCCTTTTCCTTTCCTGGGCACCACTCCTCAGCAGGGTGACTAGTGACCTACAAGTGCACATGGCTCAGAACATAAAAGCATCTTCAACATTCGTCACTGAGCCAAAAGAAGCGCAGTGTTTGGCTCAAGAGCCCGCGGCAGCCTGCATCCCTATCCACATGTGAGCTGGCCCCTGGCGTGTGACCTGAGGGATGGCCGCTCTTCTGTGTCATCCAGCACCCGGAGCAGGGACGTGCCTACATAGATGAGAAACTGTCCTGTTACCTGGGCAGAGTAGGACAGGAACCGCAGCAGGCTCCTGCAACAGAGGGAGATGGGACGCGTTAGCTTGGGATTTTGGGCCAGCGAGAAACAGACAGGATGCGGATACTTCACTTCCCCCACCAAAAGGCATTCCGAGAAGGCCAGGCTCACATTTAGAGCATGGCTGTCTGAGTGCTCTCACGGTACCCGTGTCCTCGGGTTGGCACAGATGCAGCTGCTGCAGCAGTGGGTCTGGCGGGGAGCAGGTTTCTGTGAGCTCCCTGGGGACCCCTGGCTGCTGGCCCAACATAACCCCAAGAAGCACAGCTCCCAAGAGCCACCTGAAGGTGGCCTGCTTGTAGAGTGGCTGGCAAGCTCTGTGTGGAGCACAGCTGTGCTGTGTCCTAGGCTTCGGGCTGCTAGGCTGTTCTAGGGGCCCTGCTACTGAAATCAGTCAGGTTCGGTGAAAGGACAGGCTGGGCTGAAGGAAAGTTCTAGCAAAAACTGGCATCATAATCCTGTGACCCAGGTGGTTGAGGGTGGCCAGATATTCCAACTTGTTCCTGATGTTTTGGCAGGGAAAAGCTTGCCCCATCCTGGCCTCTCAGTCCTCAGGCTGAGTCTGCATTAGTGTTACACTGGACTTATAACACTGCCTCAAGTTCTCGTTCTCATTCTCTACCTAGTCCAAAGCTAAAGGATTTCATTCCAGTTTTAAAATTGCTTCCTGGCCGGGTGCAGTGGCTCACGCCTGTAATCCCAGCACTTTGGGAGGCCAAGGCAGCCAGATCATGAGGTTAAGGGATCAAGACGATCCTGGCCAACATGGTGAAACCCCTTCTCTAGAAAAAAATACAAAAATTAGCCAGGGTGGTGGTGTGTGCCTGTCGTTCCGGCTACTTGGGAGGCTGAGGCAGGAGAATCACTTCAATTCGGGAGGCAAGGTTGCAGTGAGCTGAGGTCGAGCCACTGCATTCTAGCCTGGTGACAGAGCGAGACTCTGTCTCAGAAAAAAAAAATATATATATCTTCCCTTCCTAAGGGAGGAGCAGGACAGTCAGCGGTGGCTGAGCCCATGGGGATGCGCTAGCCAAGCCTGGGCAGCTGTCTCGTCAGGAGGCCTACTGCTCCCAGCACCAACAACAAAGTCTCCAGCAGGTGGTGCCTCCAGTGTGGGGGCTGTCGTGAGTTCCGTGGCTGTTTGTGGTGTCATCGGATCCATCAGAGGATACACATTAGTAACAATAAGGCTGAACTTGTCTTTCAAGAAAGATTTTGTGGCCAGGTATGGTGGCTCATGCCCATAATCCCAGCACTTTTGGAGGCTGGGGTAGAAGGATCTCTTGAGCCCAGGAGTTGGAAGCTGCAGTGAGCTGTGATTGCACCACTGCACTTCAGCCTGGGCAGCAGAATGAGATCTTGTCCTTAAAAAAAAAAAAAAAAAAAAAAAGGCCAGGTGTGGTGGCTCCTGCATGTAATCCCAAGCACTTTGGAAGGCCAAGGTGGGTGGATCACCTGAGGCCAGGAGTTTGAGACCAGCTTGGCCAACATGGTGAAACCCCGTGTCTACTAAAAATACAAAAGTTAGCCAGGTGTGGTGGTGTGTGCCTTTAGTCCCAGCTACTCGGGAGGCTAAGTCATGAGAATTGCTTGAACTTGGGAGGCAGAGGTTGCAGTGTGCCAAAATCGTACCACTGCACTCCAGCCTGGGCAAGAGAGTGAGACTCTATCTCAAAAAAAAAAAAAAAAAAAAAGTGTAGGCCAGGCGCAGTGGCTCACTCCTGTAATCCCAGCAGTTTGGGAGGCTGAGGACGGCAGATCACCTGAGATGGGGAGTTCGAGACCAGCCTGACCAACATGGAGAAACCCCGTCTCTACTAAAAAGACAAAATTAGCCAGGCATGGTGGTGCATGCCTGTAATCCCAGCTACTCAGGAGGCTGAGGCAAGAGAATCGCTTGAATCTGGAAGGCAGAGTTTGTGGTAAGCCAAGAATTTGGGAGTCTAGCCTGGGCAATAAAGCAAAATTCCATCCCAAAACAAAGAAACAAACAAAGCCCAAAAACCAAAAAACCAAAGTCACATACCCTGGCCCACCTCAGGTGAGGCCAGTACCCCTGAGAGGAGGGCGTTCCCCCTTTGCTGTGCTCAGCACTGATCAGAGCAGTTGTCAAGGCCACGGGGGACGGAACCAACACCCTCAAAGAGAAATGGGCAGTCCTGCCAAGGGGGACGCGAGGGAGCACTGGAATGGCAGCAGTTCCAAAACCTTTAGACTTGAAGACCTTTCTACTGCAGTCACCTGCTCTCCTGTCCACTCCCTCCACAGAGATTAATTCTTTAAGGATCAACAGTAGATTTACTGGAGTAGAAGTAGGTGTATTTAGAGCCCTGGCAATTATAAAGTGCTTGGAAGCAACTTTCTCATTTTATTTTATTTATTTTTTTGTGTGTATTTATTTATTTATTTATTTTTGAGACCGAGTCTTGCTCTGTGGCCCAGGCTGGAATGCAGTGGCACGGTCTTAGCTCACAGTGGTGGATCTCAGCTCACTGCAACCTCCGCCTCTCAGGGTTATGCAATTCTCCTGCCTCAGCCTCCCCAGTAGCTGGGACTACAGGTGCCCACCACCATGCCTGGCTAATTTTTGTATATTTAATAGAGACAGGGTTTCGCCATGTTGGCCAGGGTGGTCTTGGACTTCTGGGCTCAAGTGATCTGCTTGCCTCGGCCTCCCAAAGTGCTGAGATCATAGGCATGAGCCACCACACCCGGCCCAACCTTCTCATTTACAGATGGGAAAAGCAAGGCTCAGAGAAGTTAAGGAATCTGCGAAAGGTCACACGGCTGATTCCTTAGAGCAGGGACTGCTGTGTCTCTCAGTTCCAGGCTCAGTGGCAGGGGTGCCACCTGGTTATGGAGCAGGAACACCCAGGAAGGCTCCTTTTGGTCACACGGAATTTGTTTGAATAGGTCCGGGCATGGTTGGATTGGGAATCTGTCTTCTAAAAGTTCTCTCCTGGGATGCTGTGCAACCAGCCTGGCCCTCATCTTTGGGATGACAGTGCCCTGGCATTATGTGGAGAAGACACATGCCCGTGCCACCTTACCGGTGAGGCTGAAGTTATCAGGAGTACAGCAGACACACACAAAAGCATGTGATTCGCCCGGATCTAGGTGGCCGCTCTGTACAAACCCAGCCACAACCTCCACGGCTCTGGTTTCAGTTATCATCACCTAGAATTAAGTGCTCAATTTCTTAAAATAAATGTGGTTCCTCTTTATGTTTATTATTTAGCTTTTGTTCCAATGAATAGTTAAGGGTCTTTGGAAGAAACAACTTGGTTTTGGCTGGAGACTTTCTGTTGTGTGAAATGAGCCTGTGGCTTAAGAGTTGACCTGCTTCAGACAACATAGCTCCAAGTGGCCTAACAGTAGCAGCCTGCCTGGGAGCCCAGAGGAACAGGGTGGGAACCCTCGACCTGTGCCACACCTCCTGTAGTCTCCAGACCCCTGGAGGTGACCCCCAGAGTGTGTTACCTCAGCAGGGCCTTGAGTCCTGTGCACCGGATGTCATAGGACACGGAGTACATCTCGTACATGGTGGCCTTCACGTTGAGGCACCCGATGAAGTCCTTGGGTTTCAGCTTGTATAAGTCAAAGGTGACTCTCGCTATTCCCGACCTCTTTGGTGGCGAGCAAGTGGGAACATGCTGGCTGCCCTGCGACAATGAGAGGAGAGACACACTTCAGGAACCTTCGTAACCCTCCCACATCATCACTCTGCTCTCATGCCAGCTTCAGATTCTCCTATATGTCCATTTAAGATCTGTGAGCTGCTCTGTGGCTAACCCATCAAGAGACGCTTTCAGCAGGACCCATCTGTGCGCACTACAACTGTGTCCAAGTAGCCACGAGGCGTCTCTCCCTAATTTGCTTTCAGTTCCGGACTCAGGATGAGTCTGGTGTGGCATCGGGGCCTAGATTTCAGGACCCCTTTGCTCAGTGGATAGTTATCCCTGACAAGTGGTGGGAACCCACTCTCCCTGGAGGCTACTGTGGTTACCTGGTGACATGAGACTGTCGTCTCATGACTATAACACAGGTTTATGGAGAAGCAGGCAGCATTTGTTCAATTTTATGGACGGCTACTGGGCGGAAAGTACCAGAATCATATGGCTGAAGTGAGGGGTAGAGTGGGCACCTTCCTGGAGCACTCCTGTTTTAAGAATCTCCCAGGATAAAAGCTGACTCCATGGGAAAGCCCAAAGCCATGCAGCAGACCCCCTGGGTTGGAGGAGGAAGTCAGAGACCTCTGCACACCCCCAGGTTTATAAATAGCAATGGAACAGAATTTTCCCTACAAGATGCTTTGAAAATATGAGAGCAAAGCTGCCGCGCAGTACAAATGCCAGGCCAGGAGCTGTTCTTCCTGAGTGGCTTGTGCCACATACAAATCTTGCAGCACTCAGGATTTGGGTCTAGATAATTGACAGGGTTCCTAGGTCTTTTGAGCCTTCAGGGTTGGGAGTAGCTGAGGCTGTGAATGGTAAATCCACTAATGACAGTGACTTCATGAATGGGAGCCTAAAATGTAAATACCTCTAAAATTTTCCAAAACCTCCTTGCTGTGGCCAGCCTTCTTTATTCCTCTGTTCCCACCATACAGACAAACCCACTTGAGGTTCCAGCTGTAGCCTCTAATTCTGATCATACGGAATTTGTTTGAATACGTGTGGGATATGTATGGATTGGGAATCTGTCTTCTAAAAGCTCTCTCTCCTGTGACACTTTAAAAGTATGACAGCAAAGCTGCCTGAAGGTACAAATGAAAGGCATTTATCTTTGACGTCAATTTGTCTTTCAAGAAAGATTTTTGTGGCCAGGTGCAGTGGCTCGTGCCTGTAGTCTCAGCACGATGGGGGTTGGGGGCTGGGGCAGGAGGACCTCCTGAACCCCAGGAGGTTGAGGCTGCAGTGAGCTGTGATTGCGTCACTGCCCTCCAGACTGGGAGACAGAGTGAGACCCTCTCCACCTCCTTCGGGGAAAAAAGAAAAAGAAAAAAGGAAGAAAAGATTTTGTGAGGTGGCATCTCAGGTGAGGTTGACTTCATTATCCTTTTCTAAGCAGTTGTAGCTGTCTCTTCTGACTTTAAAAATCAAAGCAGAGGCTGGGCGTGATGGCTCACGCCTGTAATCCCAGCACTTTGGGAGGCCAAGGCTGGAGGATGACCTGAGGTCAGGAGTTTGAGACCAGCCTGGCCAACATGGTGAAACCCCATCTCTACTCAAAATGCAAAAATTAGCCGGGCATAGTGGTGCGTGCCTGTAATCCCAGCTACTCGGAAGGTTGAGGGAGGAGAATCACTTGAACCTGGGAGGCGGAGGCTGCAGTGAGCCGAGATCGCGCCATTACACTCCAGCCTGGGCGACAGAGTGAGGCTCCATCTCAAAAGAACAAACTAGCAAAAACAAAAAAACCCACCACCACCACCACCACCACCACCACCACCACCACCACCACCACCACCGAAAAACCAGTTTAAAAAAAAAAAAAAAATCAAAGCTGAGGCTGTTTTCTCTCAGCGGTCTCTTGGGGGCGCTAGCGAGCCCTCGGCCGGGAAACGTGTTTGGAAAGCTCAGATCCTGGCATCAGAGAGGGCTTCTCCTTCCATCCCGCGCCTTTTTTTCCTGGCCTCATATCCCTTTCAGACTTTTGAAATTTTTAATTTTACTCTCCCTTAATGTCTTCAGTCTTACACTTAAAATTATGATGCCCTCCGGTGGCCTCGCCGGGCGGGGGCTGCGGGGCCGCGCTCTTCCTGAGGGCGCTGCCACCGAGGAGCGAGACACCTGCTGGCGGCTTCCTGCTCGGGCTGTCTGGTCTCAGTCTACACTGGCTTTGCCCAGAAAGGCCTACAGGTGGCTGGGATCCAGGGAAGGTGGTTGGGCACCAGAACAGCCCTGGAGCGCGTGGCCCGCGGTGGCATCTACACCTGTGACATCGCACCGCCCCCACCGCCCTGCCCCGCTGCCGGGTTCCCAGCGCCCACCACCAACTCCTCCCTGTTAGCCGAGTGTCTCCTTTAGAAAAACAAAATCCGCCTTTCCCATCTCCTACTGCGGCTGTACCAAACGACCAGCAACTCAGTGGTTTCAAACCCACACACTAACGCTCTCACACGCCGGGTCTGAGACCAAGCCAGGGCGCACGGGGTCCGTGGGGGCTGCAGCACAGGGCCGGGCCCTCGCTTTTCCCGGCTTCTCCGGCGCCTGCCTTCGTAGGTACCCCACACCCCTCCTCCTCCTCTGCCTCTGGCCCTCACTCTCACCTCCTGCCTCCCTCTCATAAGGACCCTTGTGAGGACTTCTGCCTCTCCCAGATAACCCAGGACATCCCCTCAACCCACCCCAACAGCCTTCACTTAATCCTATATGCCCGGCTGAGATTTAAGACAGGGGTGTCTGTGGGGGCATTATTCTTGCTGCTACACTTTCCTTGAGCAAAAAGCCATGCAGCCCAATATTTGCTTTAAAAGATTTATCTAATTCACATCCAATTAATTGTCTCATCTACGGACATAATCTCCCCACCTGCGTTTTTTTTGAGACAGAGTCTCGTGTCCCAGGCTGGACTGCAGTGGCATGATTTCGGCTCACTGCAACCTCTGCCTCCCGGGTTCAAGTAATTCTCTGCCTCAGCCTCTGGAGTAGCTGGGATTACAGGCGTGCACTACCACGCCCAGCTAAGTTTTATATTTTTAGTAGAGACGGGGTTTCACCATTTTGGCCAGGCTGGTCTTGAACTCCTGACCTCATGATTTACCAGCCTCGGCCTCCCAAAGTGCTGGGATTACAGGCGTGAGTCACTGCACACACCTGGTCCCCACCTGCTTTAAAGGTTACATTTTATTCTAAATATTATGCTTTTTAAATTGGTCTGTGGTTTCTTTTCCAGTCAGGAAAATTGTGAGGTTTTATATATATATATATATGAGTATATGAGTAATACACATAGAAGTAACGAACAGGACATAAAAGAAAACCTACACACTGCCGTCCCTTAGAGATCCCATGCACCTCCAAGTCACATCTCCCTCCCCTCCTCTCAAGAGGCTTTTATGTCATGCATTTTCCCCTTACTTTTCCCTATTTTCAGAACATGTGTATCTCAAACATTATATTGTTAATTTTGCATATTTTTGAATTATCTATAAATGATTTAATGGAGAGCTTATCAAAGTGTAATCTGGAGACCCCCAGGAATCCTGAGGCCCTATCAAGGGGCCGAGAGGTCAAAATGAGGCCAGGCATGGTGGCTCATTCCTGTAATCCCTACACTTTGGGAGGCTGAGGCAGGTGGATCACATGAGCCCAGGAGTTCAAGATTAGCCTGGGCAACATGGAGAAACCCCATCTCTACAAAAAAAATACAAAAATTTAGCTGCATGTAGTGGTATGCACCAGTAGTCCCAATTACTCAGGAGGATGAGGTGGCAGGATCCCTTGAGCCCAGGAGGTCAAGGCAGCAGTGAACCAAGATAATGCCACTGCCCTCCAGCCTGAGTGACAGAGCAAGACCCTGTCTTAAAAAAAAAAGCAGAGAGAGAGAGAGAGAGAGAGAGGTAATAATTATCACAAGAAGTACTGTTTCCACTGTACATTTGGAAATCCTGCATAACTCAGTGAATCAGTTTTTCTCAATGACCGATGCCTGCTATTACAAAATCATCCACAGGAAAAAGTTCCATTCAAAATTCAAGACACACCAATGGATTCACTGTAACAGAGGAGGCCAACTTCACTGGCATACCTTCAGATTACACGCTATAGCTGGGCTTTCTGAAAACACCTCAACTAACTACCTTGAAACCATGACTTGGTGAGCCCTGGCATAATATAAAAAGGAATATCTTTAACTCTCTGAATAGACTATTAAAATCCTCCTCCTTTCCCAGCTGCATATTTGTGTCAGGATGAATTTTCTTCATACTTCCATCAAAACAATATGTTACAACAGACTGAATATAAAAAAGCAGATATAAGAATCTTCTATTAAGCTAGACATCAAAGAAATTTACAAAAATGTAAAAAATGTCATTCCTCCATCTTTTTGTTTTGATAAATAGTCACTTTTCATAAAAATATGTGAGTCAAGTTAACCTGTATTGGGTCATTACTTTTAATGAATTAATATGTATTTTAATATTTCTGAATTTTAGTTTTTTTAAAAAAATATGTTCATTAGTAACTTCCAAACAGTTTAAATTATGAATATTGGCTGGGCGTGGTGGCTCACACCTGTAACCCCAGCACTTTGGGAGGCAGAGGTGGTGGATTGCTAGAGCTCAGGAGCTTGAAACCAGGAGTCTGAAACCAGCCTGGCCAACATGGCAAGACCTTGTCTCTACAAAAAGATACAAAAATCAGCCAGCCTATAGTCCCAGCTACTTGGGAGGCTGAGGTGGGAGGATTGCTTGAATCCAGGAGGTAGAGGTAGCTGAGATTATGCCACTGCACTCCAGCCTAAGCAATAGTGCAAGACTGTCTCAAAACAAAAAGCAAACAAACAACAATAACAACAAAAAACAAAAAACGCAGGGCACGGTGGCTCATGCCTATAATCCTAGCACTTTGGGAGGCCGAGGCATGTAGATGACCTGAGGTCAGGAGTTCGAGACCAGCCTGGGCAACATGGTGAAAACCCGTCTCTACTAAAAACGCAAAAAAAAAAAAAAAAAAAAAAAAAAAAAAAAAAATTAGCAGGATATCATGGTACATGTCTGGAATCCCAGCTACTCAGAAGGTTGAGGTACCAGAATTTCTTGAACTCAGGAGATGGAGGTTGCAGTGAGCCAAGGTTGCACCACTGCACTCCAGACTGGGTGACAGAGTGAGACTATCACACCCACAAAAAAGTAGCACTTTTACTTTGAGAAGAGGTTCTTATTATCCCTGTATTAAAAAAAAATAAAGCAAAACAAATAGTGGATAATTATTTACCCAAAGTTAAATAAATCTCAGCATTGGATCTTCAGCCCTGTTTCATTCAAAGCAAAAATCTATGTTTTATTCTATTACACTCTGCTGTTTCTAAAACAAGCCAAATAACTTCCACCCCTCAAACATTTACCGCCGAAGGGAAACAACTATGAAATCTACTGCTGGTAATCTAATTAGTTAACACTGCTCCCTTTTCTATATATATATATATATATATATATATATATATATATACACA